CAGGCTTTGAGCCTGCCTTCTGGTCCCTTTATCTTTTATAATGGGAACCCAGGCAATTTGTTCACCATTGTAAAAAAAAAAAAAAAAAATCGGTCAACTTATGCTTTCCAGATGTACCCAAGTTCCGTAGTAAGACTTGGTCACCAGGTTTCAAATCTCTGTATATCACACAGAGATCAAACCTTTGTTTGTTTCCTTAATTTATTATAGCTGCGTTTTCTGTTTCCTTTAGTTACAGTGGGGATCGAAAGTTTGGGCACCCCAGCTAAAAATTTGTATTAATGTGCATAAAGAAGCCAAGGAAAAATGGAAAAATCTCCAAAAGGCATCAAATTACAGATTAGACATTCTTATAATATGTCAACAAAAGTTAGATTTTATTTCCATCATTTACACTTTCAAAATAACAGAAAACAAAAACATGGCGTCTGCAAAAGTTTGGGCACCCTGCAGAGTTAATATCTTGTACTGCCCCCTTTGGCAAGTATCACAGCTTGTAAACGCTTTTTGTAGCCAGCCAAGAGTCTTTTAATTCTTGTTTGAGGTATCTTTGCCCATTCTTCCTTACAAAAGTCTTCCAGTTCTTTGAGATTTCTGGGCTGTCTGTCACGCACTGCTCTTTTAAGGTCTATCCATAGATTTTCAATTATGTTGAGGTCAGGAGATTGTGAAAGCCATGGCAAAACCTTCAGTTTACGCCTCTTGATGTAATCCACCATGGATTTCGAGGTGTGTTTAGGATCATTATCCATTTGTAGAAGCCATCCTCTCTTTAACTTCAGCTTTTTCACAGATGGCATCAAGTTACCATCCAAAATTTGCTGAACTTTTATTGAATCCATTTTTCCTTTTACTCGTGAGATGTTCCCTGTGCCACTGGCTGCAACACAACCCCAAAGCATGATTGATCCAACCCCATGCTTAACAGTTGGACAGAGGTTCTTTTCATTAAATCCTGTGCCCCTTCTTCTCCAAACGTACCTTTGCTCATTCCGGCCAAAAAGTTCAATTTTAACCTCATCGTCCACAGAACTTGTTTCCAAAATGCATCAGGCTTGTCTATATGTTCATTTGCAAAGTTCAAACGATGAATTTTGTGGTGAGGACGTAGAAGAGGTTTTCTTCTGATGACTCTTCCATGAAGACCATATTTGTACAAGTATTTTCAGTTTCAGTTTTCTAGACAACTGCTTAGAAGAACCCATGGTGCTGATTGTTGGGGCAAGGTCAGATGAGTCTGGGCATTTAAAACCTTTGAGATTGACATCACCTGGTCTTCCCAGACGATGATTGAGAACAATCCATGACACTGGCAGGTCTCAGCTTGGCAAAGGGGGGCAGTACATGCTATAAATTCTGCAGGGTGCCCAAACTTTTGCAGACGCCATTTTTTTGTTTTCTGTTATTTTGAAAGTGTCAATGATGGAAATAAAATCTAACTTTTGTTGACATATTATAAGAATGTCTAATCTGTAATTTGATGCCTTTTGGAGATTTTTCCATCTTTCCTTGGCTTCTTTATGCACATTAATACCAATTTTTAGCTGGGGTGCCCAAACTTTCGATCCCCACTGTAAATGGTAAGTAGACTGGAGGGATCTTTCAGGCAAGCCACATATTGATAATGACTGTACTCTCATGTCTAGTGCTGTTATGAGTATGGACCATGGATTTAACCCTGTGGCTCCAGGTACACTTGTCAACAGCCAGTAGGGTACCTAGGATACCATGCAGGGTCCCATTGAATCTCTCAGGGACAGCATCACCTTCAGGGTGATAAGGGGTAGTTAATAGAGCAGCAGACCTATTACAGGTACTTATTTTATCTATTTTATTTCTTTATGGTACTTATATAGTGCCATCAATTTACGCAGCGCTTTTACATATATATTGTACATTCACATCAGTCCCTAACCCTCAAGGGGTGTACAATCTAAGGTCCCTAACTCACATTCATACATACACATACTAGGGCCAATTTAGACAGAAGCCAATTAACCTCCCGACCTGTCTTTTGAGTGTGGGAGGAAACCGGAGTACCCGGAAGAAACCCATGCAGGCACATAGAGAACATGCAAACTCCAGGCAAGTGAGTAAAACTACTCCTGAACGCAATTTTGGTGCGTTAAAAAAAACGACTGTAAACTCAACTGCCTGTAAACGACTGTAAACGACATAGTGTACATGGACACATAGGAAATCATAAAGGAGAGTTTTAGGGGCTGCTGAAAAAAATGCAGAAAAGCTCCTGAACGTGAGTTTATCAGCTGCAGTGTACATGGAGCCTTACAATAATTATATAGGCGATTGACAATACTAAGAAGATGGGGGCAGCAACTGGCTTTGGAGGGGGCCAAATAAAATCTGGAGTGTAGCCCACCCCAGCACCCCCCTAGATCCGGCCATGAGTAGTACCCCAATATTTGTATCTTGGGAAGGAATAGTGTCCCATCATTGGTGCCAGTAGGCGGAATAGTACCCCAATGTTGGTGTTCGTGGAAGGAATAGTACCCCACTGTTGGTGTCCGTGGAAGGAATAGTACCCCACTGTTGGTGTCCGTGGAAGGAATAGTACCCCACTGTTGGTGTCCGTGGAAGGAATAGTACCCCACTGTTGGTGTCCGTGGAAGGAATAGTACCCCACTGTTGGTGTCCGTGGAAGGAATAGTATCCCACTGTTGGTGTCCGTGGAAGGAATAGTGCCCCACTCTTTGTGTATTTTGTGTACATGGAAGGAATAGTACCCCACTGTTGGTGTCCGTGGAAAGAGAAGTACCCCACTGTTTGTGTACATGGAAGGAATAGAACCCCACTGTTGGTGTCCATGGAAGGAATAGTGCCCCACTGTTGGTGTCAGTAGAAGGAATAGTACCCCAATATTTGTATCAGGGGAAAGAATAGTGCCCCATCATTGGTGTCAGTGGGCAGAATAGTACCCCACTGTTGGTGTCCATGGAAGGAATAGTGCCCCATAGTTGGTCTCAGTGGAAGGAATTATGCCTTATCATTGGTGTCTGTGGGAGGAATAGTGCCTCACATCAGTGAAAGGAACAATTCCCCTGTGGCTACATAAATGCAAGCAGAGGGTTGCAGTTTGTAGAACACTGGATTAAATGATGGACTATCATTATTATCAATACAAACTGAGGCTGCAAGGCTGCTATCCAATCAATAATCTGACTGGTCAACATGAGTGTCATCCCACTTCCCAGTATTGCCAGTGTTGGCATGATCAGAATTTGATTACACAAAACCAGCAGCAAAATTCTTACCAGTTTTAGCTAGCTGGTGTACTCTTGATATTTTTCTATAAATAAATATAAAATCCTTATGATTTTCTTTCAGCAGTTCTTTTTATATTTACCGTATTTTCCGGCGTATATGACGACTTTTTAACCCATGAAAATCTTCTCAAAAGTTGGGGGTCGTCTTATAAGCCGGTATACGGCGTGCTGACACCTACTTCCGAGCCGCTGTAGCAGCAAGATCAGTTCCCCTGTAGCGGCAAGATCAGTTCCCCTGTAGCGGCAAGATCAGTTCCCCTGTAGCGGCAAGATCAGTTCCTAGCGGCAAGATCAGTTCCCCCATGAAGATGTGTCTTCCTGACGCATCTGCGCATGTCACGGAAAACTCCGCCCCTCAATCATCTGCCACGCCCTGCCTCTCTGCTACAAACCCTCTCCGTTTATCCTCCACAGGGCAACGTGTTGGGAGAAACCCCGCCTATTGTTTCTCAGCCACTCCCTGCCTCCATCTCTAACACTCGGTGACGTGGTTGGAGGACAGTGGGGGGGGGGGGGGGCCTGACATGGGGAGGACAGTGACATGTGATGGGGTCAGTGACATGGGTGGGCTATGACATGGGAGGACAGTGACATGGGGAGTACAGTGACATGTGCTGGGGTCAGTGAAATGGGGGGGCCGTGACATGGGGAGGACAGTGACATTTGGGGGGGTCAGTGACATGGGGAGGATAATGACATGAGGGGGGGAGCAGTGATACGGGGGAGCCTGACATGGGGAGGACAGTGACATTGGGGGGGCAGTGACATGCGGAGGGCAGTGACATTGGGGGGTTAGTGACATGGGGAGAACAGTGACATGGGGAGGACAGTGACGTGGGGGGCATTGACCTGGGGGGGGCTGACATGGGGAGGACAGTGACATGGGGAGGACAGTCCAAAAAACTGATGTGGAGCTAATACCATGTGAAACCCACAAGCATGAATACAAAATAGCAACAATATATGAAAAATAAAAAATATGAATAAACAAATCATGCAAGGTGATAATAATGACAAGTGCCACTCACACGGACGTGTGTATAAATACAAAAAATGACAGTTATAAGTGACAGTTTTCCTGCTAAGTATCTGCATGTCATAAGCATTTGAATTAAAATTACCATATTGAAATAAAATCTGCAGTTTTTTTTTTTTGGTGTGCGTTGGAAGAGGGGTAGTGTTATATGGCGAGTACAGCCCAAACCCTATATTTTAACAGGAAAAGTAGGGGGTCGTCTTATACGCTGGAAAATACGGTATATAATAAAGCCAAGCTATTTACATGTGTTGAAGTCATCCTGGTACCTAATAGGAAGGGTGATGATGATGATTTGGACAGTCTAGTGAAGGGATATGGGAGCATATTGGGTAATCCATTGTGGATCTTTAAACATAGAGGCTGAGACAGTATATAAAAGAACATAAGGGGTTATGAAGGAAAGGGAATTGTGCTGCTGGTAAATGAGGGTAAGTAGTAGTCATGGGTGCAATTTATAATATAACAAACAATTGCCTCCATTCTAGTTATACCCTACAGTGAAATGTAAGCAGTGATTGGTTATTTTAGGTTCTTTGCTGTTTGTCATACTGTAATAAGTTCATACATTGTGCATGGCACTTCTTATTTCTATCTGGAATTGCGTATCCTTCCAGAACTACACACACTGGATGTTGACCATTCTTGTAAATGAATCACTGTTGCTGTCCAAAGTTATTTTAGGCAAAATATCCCCATAGGAAAACATTGATGGTGAGGAGGATGATAGCATTAACATTGCACACATTTCTCCATAATGGCTCCTCATCAATACTGGTCAGCTTCTTCTGTAATTTCTCTTCTTCCTCTTTAGAAAGTTTGACTTCAGGCTGCGTGGACAGTCCACAGAACCAGTAACCGACCTTCTTCCACCAGGGGTACAAAGTGGCTGTAATCAGAAGTGGCAATATCAATAGAAGAAAACAATATGGGGAAAATCCCTCCCCTGAGGAACACTAGGGGTCAATTTGCATCTAGTGGCTACGGATGAGGAAAGGGTCTGTAAGATGGGAAGATATTGTCAGGTGAGATATAATATAGGTGATTTTCATAGGTCGGTGATGGTTAAAGTTGAACTGCAGGCAAGTAGCTAAATACATAGCTGTTTTACCTGACAAAGAATTTGTATTTATGTCTATGCAATCCAGAAATGTACACAGCTCTGCTAGAGAGCATAACCAGTGTCCTGACTTTTATCTGCTGCAGGTAAAGTGGAGCTCCATTCTTCCTAAAAAAATTAAGTCAGTGGCTACATATTAGTTGCTCTTCCATTGATCAATCACAGGCTATGTAAAGGGAGGTGGCTGTGTTCCTTAAAGCGGAACTTCACCCAAAAGGGGAAGTTTGAATCCTCCCCCCTCCACTGCCACATTTGGCACTGTTTTGGGGGGAGTGAGTACCACTTCTGGATAAGATTGCCGCAGTGATCTTCGGACACTCCACTTTCCCCTTGCAGCCATCTGGGACACACACAGGTCCCAGAAGACTACTGGACCAATCAAACATCTCACGCATGCACAGTAGGAGTTTCCCTTACCCAAGATGCACCCAAAGCCGACTGAAGAATCGGCTCGGGTGGGGACATCGCTGGATTCCTGAACAGGCAAGTCATAGAATGCATGAAGGTAAAAAACCTTGAGCCTTTACAACCACTTTAAGGTGGTGATTAAACTCACCTAGTGCCTTATCTGCATTAAATCAGCCTCAGAACCTGTGTATTGAATATGTGTTCAGTTTTAAAGGGGTGAAGTGGCAACCCTAGTGACAATTGTATCTGTTCCCATGCCCGCAACCACCCCAAGCTGAATCGCGCTTCTCATCCCCATGCCTCTCAGCCCGCAGTACAATTGCGGATGCAGGAACCGCAGGGTCAAACAGACCATGTGGTTTCCCTGCGACTATGTATTTAAAATGGTGCATGCACCATTTTTTTGCAGGAAATGCGGGAACATCTGCTGGAGCAAATGCAAGCTGCACGGCCCACAATAGTGTGAACCAGTCCTTAATAAAGGAAGGATATTATTTTGTGTCTTGGTGTGTAGCTGAGTTTTGGAGTTGGAGCTGAAGTTCTGCAGTCACTCCTCTCAATGCAATTTCACTTGGCAATCACACATTCAAAATCACAGAGTTTAGTATGCTAAATCACAGTTTTTGAATGGCTTATGCAGCACTCTAAAGAAGGATCTGTAATATTTTAGGCTAGCCTTTCTCAGCCTTTTCATCCCAGGGGAACCCATTAAATAGTTTGCAGGCCTTGGAGAACACTTGCTAAAACCAATTCACTGGGAGTCAGTGGGAAAATGCCCTTTACATTGGCAGTCAGTGAGAAGAATGCACCCCCATTACAGGGATAGTCAAAATTCCATCCTTACAGACAGCCAAAAAGGTCATTGGTGCACTACTGCTGGTTAAATCAAGTGGAGTTGGACCTGAAAACATGTAGGCGCCATCATATGGGAGATCATTTACTACAGCTCAAGGAACCCCTAGACTCCTATAGAGGAACTCCAGTTTAGAATGATTGTTTTACCAAATAACCAAACAATGTCTTTTTTTAAAGAGAAGCAGCTTTCTTGGGGATAATACCCTTTACACTCACCATCGCTCACTGATTTCTGCTCTGTAATGGATGAACTGTCGTTTATAACTTCAACTTGTGGTACTACTGATCCCCCTAATATAAGTGTAAACAAAAATGAATGTTAAAATTTTTCCACTGATAATGAACCTGTGGCCAAGCTATAGACATGTGTTCAAATTCTTACCAAGCACTAAATGAGCTTTAAAATAAGCCCTTATTGAATTGTGGAGCAAATCATCCTCAGAGTTCACAGTAAAATTAGTTAAGTTGTTCAAGTCTTGTCTCAGAAACTCAGTTGGGAATGGGAGCAGGAGCAGGTTTTGCTGAGCTGCTGAAATTGAATACTTCTGTGGTAAACTTTGTGGATGAATGGCTCCACGCCTGCAGCTACAGAGGTCAGTGAGTTCTGGTTTTAACGTACATTTACTATATTTTTATATTTGAATAGCTATCCGCATTCACACTTCAAAATCATATATTTTTTTTTTTTTTTTTAAAACGTGAGAAATTGAAAGAACCTCTGTTGACTTTTTGGTTAGAGTAAGGAATGGTTAAAACAATCAATTTGGAATATTTTTGTTCACTTCCTATCCCTAAGACACAGATGAAAGCAGAGATCTCTCTAATGCGAGGGTACATTCCCTTTTAGACAGCTGTCATCAAAACAGGTTTCCTTGTTGCAAGATTTCCTCTCACATGCTGTTCCTGTGATACCCCAAAAGCTTGAATTTCCTGAACCAGAGACATTGGTTCCTAGAACCAATAACAAGGATGAATCTCCAAAGCAGGTGAACGCATTTGAGAAGTCCAGAAGTTGATTTTATTAAAAGTTAAATTGATTAAAAATCCAAACACATTTATTTATTAAAGGTACTTCTATAGCACCATCAATGTATGCAGTGCTTTACATACGAGGTATGTCTAAAAAGTTTGGTGAATGGTCTGACATCTCAATGGCAACATGGGCCAGATTCGTGAGCATGCAAAATGGCTATCCAGAAACATATCTAGAAGCGCCAACTAGCATGGAGTACACGTCACCGTCAGGGTAAACCCACTGCGGGCAATTGAACATAGTCTTTGTGAGACGTAGGGTCGAAGTGCAATGGAAAAACGAGTGAACATCAAGTTCTGATACAAATTGGGGAAAATGGTGATGGAGACACATGAAATGTTGGTGCAAGTGTACATGTTGAAAGCTGTGAGCAGAAAATGTGTTTATGATTGGTTCAGTTAGTTACAAGGTGAATGAAACGACGTAGGATGAGCCACGTACAGGTTGGCCATCGTCAAGCAGAACCACAGACAGTGGTGAAACTATCAGGGTCACAACAGTTGGAGTTCTGCCATTGTGGGGGGGGGGGGCAAGATTGCAAGAAGGCCGGCACTCTACAGAGCTACCGAAACTTCATGCAGCAGTGTGTTTTTAGAGTTCTGACAGCTTGCATTTTGTTGGCATCAGCTGCTTCACATAGGAGACTCTCATTTGGCACTTTGCATCCTCCATCGGTAATATCCCTGGTGGAGTGAAGACATGGATGATCCGCATGGACGTTGACCCACACAGGTCGGCATCTGCAGAGCTCACTCCGCTCGTGTTGGCTTCCTGACTAGCAGCACATACTGATCTACAGTGAACCCATCCTGTCCTGGATGCCCACATTGTGTGTGGGCTCCTTGTTCCATCAGCAGCATCAGCTGTATTAGGTTACAGCTCATTAAAATTCAACAAGTCCCTGGGAGGGGGGAAGATTGGCTGAGTCTTCTTGTAATTGTTTACAGAAGAATTGCAGCCCAGCCATCCATCCAGCTCAGAAAACTTACAGTGAGCCTTTCAGTTATACACCTACAGAAGGGCAGTTGAGACATTTTCATAGCATTATAGACACACTGTGAGCTTACCTGCTGCATATCACATAGAGTGCAGCTGAGCAATCCATCCAGTTTGATCCCCTGATATTTATTAATAAACTTTTTTACATTTCTAATACAGAATATCCTGAGTTGGTTTCTCCTTGGCCACATTTCTTCTCTTTTGTTGTTTATCATAGTAAAGATCCCTAGGACTGATGCAAAGGGCCCTGGGATGGGGTCGGGGTCAGGGTCAGGGAGAACCTTCATGGTTTCTTGCACCGGTGCCCTGAAGGTTCTAGTTACGCCTCTGACCACAGACATGATCGAGCAAGTGTGACAAATGCAGGGAAGAGATTGGCAACTGACTCCATGAATGATGGCGGAGGAATTGGGCATTAGCAAAGACACGGTGCACACCATTGTCCGCAAAGATTTGGATAAGTGGAAAATCTGATCATGGTTTGTGCAACACAGACAGATGAACAAATAGCAAAAGGGATGAAAACCTCTAGAGATTTAATTACCATGTGCAATCAGGATCCATCCTTTCTGTGAACCATAATCACATGGGATGAGACCCGGTGTTACCTTTTCGATACAGAATCCAGCTGGTAATTGATGGAATGATGCTCACCGTCTTCCCCACAACCCAAAAAGAGTAGCCTGCAAATGTCCAAGGTCAAGACAATGTTGATTGCCTTCTTCAACAACAATGGCATCATCCACAAGGAATTAGTTGCTGCGAGTCAAACCATGAACGCCACATACTATGAGGAAGTTTTGAAACGATTGTTATGATGCATCTGCTGTGTTGCACAGGACTGGACAGTGGATGTTTCTGCACGATAACACACCTGCGCACTGTGGTGTGTGTTGGCCAATTCTTGGCCAATGCAGCGTACCTGTGCTCGATCATCCACCGTACCCCCCTCTCCCCCTCTTCTGGCACATGCAGACCTCTTTCCGTTTCCCGGTCATGAAAGGTGCACGTTTTGCGGACGTGGCGGCAATCCAAGAATGTGTGACAGTGGTTCTGCGATCAATTCCTAAATAGGCCTTTTTAAAAGATTTATGAATGTTGCCAAAGTGTGTTGTGAAGGATGGCAATTATTTTGAAGGCCAATAAAAGTAATTTGTTTGTACCTTCTGTTTCGTTTGTTTTCTGATACTATTTTAGACGCACCTCAAATATATTGCACATTCACAATCTAAGGTCCCTAACTCACATTTATACATACATACATACATACACATATTAGGGCCAATTTAGACAGGAGTCAATTAACCTCCCAGAATATCTCTGGAGTGTGGGAGGAAGCCCTAGTGCTGCTAGGCCGAAGTGCTAGCCACTTAGCCACTCTGCTATCCCACATTCAGCGGAAAAAGTCTCTGATGAAGGAGGACCATCTGAACCCCTGAACAGCGTTGGATTTCTAGTAAATATAACCCTTAATAAAATCAGCTTCTGAACTTTACAAATGTGTCTTGCTCTTTCCTTGCATAACACTAGTCTGCATGAGACATTTGCCAATCTTTGGATGTCTCCTGGAGGACTACCTAAAAGGAAACCCATTTGTCTTAATATGAATGGACATTTGAAAGATCCATCGCTTATCACCTCACAACTTCTGTAGCAAAACAAATCTGACAGAGGTTCTAGCTTTTTTCATATTCTACCCTAAACCTAATTATCATGAGACTGGCTGATAAATGCTCCTGCACAAGATCAGTATTTCAGTAGAATTAATGAAGATAAATTACCTTGCTCCTTCTCAGTTGGCAAGATGCTGGAAGGTACTGTAGCATTATCTGATGTCTTTTCATGCTCTTCCAGGTTGGTAATTTTCTCTGGTCTGTTTCGTGTCCACCAAGTGAAACGACCAATCTAAGCAAATCAAAGGAAAATACACTATGACTAAGAAGAGCAACAATTCAAAAAAGGAAAACCTGAAGCAGATCCAATGACTTTTGCTTTGTGAAATGAGTTCCCTTTTCCCTTTTCCTGTTCAACCAGTTCAACCAGTCCTTGAAATATGGCTGCTATACCCTGTGGAATACCAAGAGTATGTTTCTGAGGCTACATTAAACTCTTTGTAGCCATCTCTTTGCTTTGCCTCCAGGTTCCTAATATAATAAGGTGATGGTTTTCCAAAAAAAACACAAGATCAGGTGATAATCTTGTGTGTGTAGATGGGGCTGGCTGTTGTAAGAGGGAACACTTTCCCAGGTAAATCAGAAAACCAATACCAATTGCTATTGCTTCCAAACTGATAAGCAGGGTTGATCTCTGTTTCACCAATCACAATTCCTCCACTAAAATCCCCTTTCATTGGCAAACATAAGTTGGCATTGAGTTCATGACTACGCTACATGCATACTGGGCATTTAGCTCCTGTGCATCCAATCCCAGTGTTTTTGGGAGCCCGAGAGGCACAGGTGCAGCACCCAGCCCCACTCCCTGCATCCTGTCAAAGTCTAGGATAAGAGTAAATACACTGTGTTTGGATGCAGTTGGAGGCTTTACTCCTCTTTACTCCTCTTGGCTTTACTTGGAGGCATTAGGGCCCTAGGTATTCAGAGATGCATGGAAGTCTTCTGCTTTCTGAGCATATATCCCTTAATGCAGGGGTGGGCAACTGTGGCCCTCCAGCTGTTGTAGAACTACAAGTCCCATGAGGCATTGCAAAACTGACAGTTACAAGCATGAATCTCAAAGGCAGAGGCATGATGGGACTTGTAGTTCACCTACAGCTGGAGTACCACAGTTGCCCACCCCTGCCTTAATGCATAGAGCCCTAAACACAAGTACCTTCTAGTACAGCATCCAGCCATAGAGTATTTCAACCTGTCATAGACTTTGACATTTTGCAGTAAGAACCTTGTAATTGCTTCAGAAAACTAATGCTCCCCTATTTTATGGAACTAAGTAGAAGTCAGTGGGTCTTACCTCCTCATCAGACATAGCTGGAGTAAACAGGCTGATCACAATGCAGATAATTGCTGTGAATGCAAAAAGTAAGATTGCAAAATACAGATAGTGAACATCCTTCAGCAAAGATGGACGGGTGTCTTTCTCTCCGCAGTTTGGGGCTCGATATACAAAATCCATGATCATTCGAATCAAACCAACTACCAGCCCAATGATCAGACCCCAGAAGGCTCCCTGCAGGGACAAAAGAATACACATAACCATTGAAAGAATTGTGAAGTTACTGTAGCACTACCCCCCTTAGGAGTTGCTAGAAGATTTGGGTCCCCCTATAGTCCTGCACAGCCAGGCATCACACATCTTCACAAAAAAGCTTGCATCCAGAGTCAGAAATCAGTCTTTGAGCTTTGGTTTTGTTATTTTATTTAGGGTATTTGAACTGGGATAGGGTTAGGGTGTACAGGATGCCCAAAGGTACTGATGAACTGAGGACAACTTCACAAGCCTTCACTGCAACACAGTTTCTGTTGGAGAGCTAGCCAGTGCCTCCTTCATATACCACCCCAGACCCTAGATGAACTTCTCCTCTTCACCCAGCAATCTGGAGGTATCCATGAACAGGGGATCCGCTTCCTGTCACTAATCATGAACAGTCACTGGCAGGTGACTAATCTGGATTTGCACCAGAGTGCTCCTTTCCCTATCTGCCCAGGTACTCACTCAGATGCTCTCCTGTACTGCTTGTGTGTTGGTAGCTGCTACCAGGCTTACCAGCTGGGCCACTCCTTCCCTGCCATACAGGTGGTCCTCTCTCAGGGGGCCTGTGAGCTCCAAGCTTTCCTCCTTTCCAATTCCAGGCCTGTGGGTAGGCCTCTTCCCACTGGGCCTCCTTCCTTCAGGCTCATATCTTTCTCTCTATCTTCCACCAAACTCTGCTGCAACTGAGCAGGCTCCATCACTTTTAAGGATGTCCCAGCCTCTTTCCAAGCCTTCTTTTGGGGATTTGCTGCCTGGGGTCCCTGAAGAGTGCAGCTAGCCACTCCTCAGATCCACACCTTCCTTCAAAGCCCTAGAGCAGGGGGAAATTCCAGCGGTGCTGGCCTGCAGAGCCTCTCAACTCCTGACCATGATTTAACCTTCTGGCTATTACACCCAGGCTGCTACTTAGCCCTAACCGGATATCGTATGTACTCTCCAGCGCCTCAGGATATGCACAGCCAAAAGGGAAGCCAAGGGTACCAGGACAGTGACAACCAAAGGAAATGCTCCAGGGGTGCAGCCCTCCTCAGACGGGGAAATCAGCCACTGGATAGAGAGAAAAAACAGGTGGCGCACACACCTAGTGCATTATCCAAGGTTTATTGTAGGAGTGAAATAATAAAAACATACTCACAGACGAAGCAAGCATGTATCTAAAAAGCATAGAAAAATTACAATGGCCACAACGGCATGCAAGGTGTTCTCACTGTCAGTGCGGTCAAATGGCTGACGCATTTCGGGGATGAATCCCTTTCCTCAGAGCTGATGACCAACCTCTGATGCTGATGTATGATGAATGGAAAGTAAGAGCCTTGCTGTTGATGCCTGTTTTCTCCCTGCTACTTAGTCCTGCTCACTATCAATTAACCTCTAGCTCCCCCTAGCTAAACTAGGAAGGTGCTACATTACTCAAAGTGCACCTGTGGTTTTGTTACAAACAAAATGTCATAAAGAAAGATTGCAGAAAAGGCAAGCACTTACAGACCTACCTGGATCTTCATCCTGACAGAAATATATTTGTTTTGTTTACATTCTCCCATCTAGCGAGGAGAAACACATACAATGTATATTTTTCTCCATTCAGAGGAGAAAGCATATAGGGGCGGTTAGGAGGTATGGTTTAATCTCCTTTCTGTAGGTAGTGCTGGGTTGCTGTGCTGCTATACAGATGGAGTGGAGGATGGGAGGAACGTTGTTCCTCTGCAGACTCCATAGGTGTCACCAGGGGAGCAGTGGTCCGATTGGGCACTGCAACACTGGCTGACCACGGTGACCATCTGTATTATGGGCAGTACTAATAAATAGCAGTACCCCATTGCATTTGGCTCTCAGTTGTGAATGGCTAGGGTAGGGAAAGGAGCCATGCTTGCTAGGGACAATTAATTAACTTTAGGGAAATTTCCTGTTTGAGGAGGGACAGATTAGGCACACCACTGTCTGCTCTGCTATCCTCCAAACTTCAGCACTGCACCATGAGACTTGCACTACTTTGCTCAGTGCCTCTTGTGCCGCCACTCTGTCTGTTAGCCCCCTCTCCCCCCTACACAAACGCTGCTCCTGGTATTGTATGCTATGCCATGTGATAGCCTTGATGCTGAGGATACACCATTGTACCTCTAGCATTGCTAGAATCACCACTACCAAGCATTACTGCACCTTTTCTGTTAGTGTCACTGTGTTTGCTAATATAATATTGTCTAAAACGATTAGGTCAAGTGTTCTGCCACAGTTGCTATAGCCACATACTAGTGGTAGCGATATCCAATTGTTGCTCAATTTGTTATCTGTTATATAGTTGTGCTCAAAGGTTTACATACCCTTGGAGAATTTTGGACCATTTGTACCATTTTTAAAGAAAACATGAGTGAGCAGGCAAAACACATTTCTTTTATTTCCTATGGGATTCATATTCAACTGTAGGTCATACAGAATGGCACAATCATAAAACAAAACAAGGCAACAAGTAAACAAATGAAATGATCCCTGTTCAAAAGTCTACATACCCTTAGTTCTTAATACTGTGTATTGCCCCCTTAGCATCAATGACAGCATGCAGTCTTTTGTAATAATTGTCTATGAGGCCCTAAATTCTTGTAGGTGGCATAGATGTCCATTCATCTTGGCAAAATGCCTCCAGGTAATGCAAAGTCTTTGGTCATCGTGCATGAGCCGCAACATTTGAGATCTCCCAAGAGTGGCTGAATGATATTAAGGTCAGGAGACTGTGATGGCTACTCCAGAGCCTTCACATTTTTCTGCTGTAACCACTGGATGGTCTGCTTGGCCTTGTGCTTAAGGTCATTGTCAAGCTGGAAAATCTTTTTAGCTTTCAAGCAAAAGATTGCAAATAATCTGCCAGTATTTTCTGATAACATGCTGCTTTTATCTTGCCATCAGTTTGCACCAGATTCCCCGTGCCTTCACACACCCCCAAAACATTAGTGAGCCACCATTATGCTTGACAGTGGGGATGGTATTTTAGTCACTGTTGACCCCTCTCCAAACATAGTACTTATGGTTGTGACCATAAAGCTCTATTTTGGTCTCGTCACTCCAGATTACAGTGTGCCAGAAGCTGAGAGGCATGTCAAGGTGTTGTTGGGCTTATTTTAACTGGGATTTTTTATGGCTTTGTTGCAGTAAAGGCTTCATTCTGGCAACTCAACCATGCAGCTCATTTTTGTTCAAGTATTGTCGTATTGTTCTCCTTGAAACAACTGCACTGTTTTTTTCCAGAGCAGCCTGTATATCACCTGAGGTTACCTATGGGTTTTTCTTTGTATACGAAACAATTCTTTGGCAGTTGTGGCTGCAATCTTTCTTGGTTTACCTGACCATGGCTTGGTATCAAGAGAACCCCTGAATTTTCTACTTATTAAAAAGTGATTGAACAATACTGACTGGCATATTCAAGGCTTTGGATACCTTTTTCTATCTTTATAAAGTTTTATTACCTTGTTACGTAGGTCTTTTTCAGTTCTTTTCTGCCTCCTATGGCTCAGTATCTAGCCTGCTCAGTGCACACACACACACACACACACACACACACACACACACACTTATATAAAAGCCACAGATGTGGGAAATGAATCATTAAGTGCCATTTTAACCTGTGTGTGTCTATACCAAGGCCAAACAACTGCGATAATAAATTGCTTCATATGATTACTGTCCTTAAATAAAAAACAGTTTTTAGCATAATCAGTCATATTTTCATATCAATAGCAAAATTTCTCGATTTTTGCCAAGATATTCAAACTTTTGATCACAACTGTACCTGCAACTCAACCCAGTAATAGTTGTTCAGCCTTCCTCTGGACTCTGTGTGCTGTTCTTCCAACTTGTGTACCAACCACCTGACCCCACCCACAGGAGGCTTTTACAGCTAGTGATCATTGTGATAGTCAATCACAGGTTATCACAGTAATCATGTGCTTAGGATCCCATCCTTCTAAGTATGAGATCAGGAGCTGTCAATGACAGCTTGGTCTCCCTGCTAGGGATAAGCTAGAGAGTGTGTCATGGAACCGGACCCAGACCGCACTTGGATATTTCCGTTATACTCTCGCTTCCCTGTCCGAACACAGATTCCCAGACACCACCCTGACCATACAGGAAATAAGACAGAACCAGACTCTTCTTAAGACAGGAAGTCAACTGCTTTATTTTAACACAAACACAAGATATATACATTCAAAGGAACAACCAACCTCCCTGCATATAGATACAGGGGGTGGCAAACCAAATCTAGCAACCAGAGACATCAGCAGACACCGCCACCAAGCCAATACACAAACACATATAACCCATAATAGTTTGCTCCCAAGCCAGACACACAATAGAACAATGGGACAACCACATGGCATTAAACAATGAACAACCCCCACACCCCACCAAACCAAGACACCCAATATTAGGACAGATCACCCTGCACCCCTAACAGGCACAGGGTGCCTACACATAAGAGGAACATGAGGAGCTGATACAGGGGTCCCCCCACCCCCAAAAGTCACTCCCGTCACAGAGTGCACTTCCAGCACAAACACAAATGCACATATAAATGGAGCCACAAAAAGAAGGCCCACCTATGACACTACAAATATGTATGCAACCAGCTGCAATAGGAAGAAAGAAAACCTGTACCATTGCTGATTTCTTCTTCTGAAAATGCTGGTTGTTTGGTTTTCATGCTGATTTATTGGATTCAGTACTATCTGAATTAGTGGAGCAGAACAAATATAAGCATATGGAATGGTGACTTTACTTTGACCCAACATGCTGAAAGAACTCACAATCAGCCGGGCTTGCTGTGCAGGATACAGCAGGGTAGTAAAACAATCATCTGTATGTTTTGCTGCCTCACCAGCTTGATGAGTGAGACATAGGTTTCCTTCTGGGACTTAAAGCGGAGTTCCAGCCTTTTTTTTTCTCCCTTGAAAGACAATGGTCTCCCTCTTCACAGTCCGTTTTGGCAATATATATGTAGATTTTTTTTTTCCTAAACACCTTTTATTGATAATTTCTGTCTCCACTTTCGGTCCCGGCCACCTAGGCGATTACATCATCAGGCATTCCCTAGGGCTTCTGGGATATCGGCATCATCTATCCCAGCAGTCCTAGGGAATGCCTAATACCAAAATCTCTTGTTATTATGAGACCGGGAGTGATGCGATCGCGTGGATTTCTTCACACTGCGTAGGTGCAAGATCGCTCCTTCTTCACACTGTGCAGGAGCGAAAACGGGAAGTGCATGCTGGGTAGCCAGCTACACAATTTCCCAGAAGAGTGTCTGAGCGGGCTTCAGGTGCCCACACTTAATATGACAGCGTTCACAGTATGAGGGTGCAGTAAGAATTTTTTATTTTTTATAAGGAAAGCAAAGGATTCCAAGTACAGGCGATCTCAACTTGCACCAGAGCTTCCAATTTACCTCTTTTGCTTGGCAGACTTCTGGCATTGGTGAACAAACACTTTAATCAATTGACACCTTGTGCACACATATTTTGCATATTTTTTCTTTTCATACAAATGGTACCAATTCCACTGGTTGTAACATGGGAACCTTCTTATCTGCCATAGTCTTCCCCTCATCTTTCCCCATTCCACTCACCAATAAGTAATGACCCCTGTCTGATCTGTCTACCCCGTTATCTAATTCTACCTCCCCCCTCGATCCTAGTTTAAATACTCCTCCAGCCTTCCCATAAACCTCTCCCCCAGCACAGCAAACCCCCTTCCATTTAGGTGCAAACCATCTCTAGCCATTTAGGTGCAAACCATCTCTAGCATATAGTTTGCACCCCAATGAAAAGTCATCCTAGTGCTCTAGAAACCCAAATCATTCCCTCTTACACCAGGTCTTCAGCCATGCATTGAGTTCTCTAATCTCCCCCTGTCTTTCCTGAGTTGCGCATGGCACAGGTAATATTTCAGAGAATATCACCTTGGAGGTCCTTCCCTTCAACCTGCAGCCTAGTTCTTTAAATTGATTCTTAAGGAGCATCCACCTTCCATGTATTCTGTCATTGGTTCCAACATGGACCAAGACAGCTGGGTTATGCTCAGCCCGTCCCAGTAATTTATCAACCGGGTCCACCACATGCCAAACCATGGCACCAGGGAGACAGCAAACCATTCGGTTGAGGCGATCCTGGCAACAAATTATTCTATTAGTTCTTCTGATTATAGAATCCAATACTGCCACTGCACAAAACCTTCAACCCTGCTAGCACTCATATCCCAGTTACAATATTAATAGGAAATATCAGTTGTCAGTTAAAGGTTAGTAGACTCCTGTTATAATCTCTTGTTTTCCACTCCGGTTTTTTAACTCCGCTTAGTCAAAGGTCCAGCAAGCAAAACATAGGCAAGCTTAAGAATGAGCAAGCTCAGAGTGAGCTCTACAGCATGTTATATAGGACCTGTAGCACCTGTGACTAATTAACCCTTTCCCTTAATTAGTAGACAGAAGGAAGGCAAGGAAAGGAAGGAAAAAAAATGCTATTCAAAAAGTGAATTAAAAAAGTAAAAGCTTTTAGCAAGACCAAAAGAAGAAAATAAAACAGCACCAGCAGTCAAAAGTAAAACTTTTTCACTCTCCACTGAAATTTACTACTCTTTTTAGCTATCAGCTAGCAAAAAATGCGAGCCCCAGGACAGGTAGTCAGATTCCTGTGTTTGTAGTTCGCCACCTAACATGACCAGGATTTATTTTCCTTTTTGCTTTATTTCGTAATTTTGATGAATGTTGTTTTTGGACACAGACTTTGCGAATAAACTACACTTGTGTTTCACCAAGACCCTGCTGTCTGATGTGCCTTTTTCACCGTGCTCTGCACTCACACAGGGATTCACGCACAACCTGCTACTGAGCTAATTCCCCACACATTAAACAATAGTTTGAAGCATTCAGGTGATATACTTACTGGTTCATTGACTCTGTTGACAAAAATTGCCAAAATAAATATGGCGGTGACCGGAGGGGCGAGGTAACTAGTGACAGACTGCACGTAATCAAACAGTTGACCACTGTTTGCTGCTTGGATGATGGGAATCCAAAGGATGCTTATAACTACCAGTATGACTATAAAAATTCTGCCAGAGAGAAGATACAACATTATATAAACAAAGCTTCAAAGGAACTGTCTGATAATTATACAAGCTACACTAAAACATACATATTCCTTGATACAGTAGAACACAGCGAAGAGTGAAGTAACGGTGAATGATCATGGAGGTCATTTCTGATTGGTTACTGTGGATTACATGCCCCTGCACATCATTAAAGCTCTTACATTACATTGATTGAATATCACCATATTGGGGTAGTATGTGCATATATTGCAACCTCCCCACAAAGGCTGCCCAGTGCATAAGAAAGACAGCCGAAGTGATAGGTGCTGTGCATATGTGACTTTCTTGAGCCCCGCAGCACCATATTGGGTGATGCTTATGATTCTTGTTGGTGCCATTCCTAAAATGGTGACCTAGGGGCATAAGACTGTGGAAGACTACACCATCAGGGAAATCAATGGGGAGATTTGTTTTCTGGGGATAGACTCCTCAAACTGCAAAGAGGGATGGTGACCTAGGGGCATAAGACTGTGGAAGACTACACCATCAGGGAAATCAATGGGGAAATTTGTTTTCTGGGGATAGACTCCTCAAACTGCAAAGAGGGATGTCAACCATAATATAAATAGTTTAGTAGTTTAACTTTATTTTTTTTTTTGCATATTGCTAAAAGAATGCTGTACCTGCCAACAATCATAAGTTCTTGTTCTCTGGCATTTCTTCGAATACGTGACCAGACATCCAAAGTGAAGATAGTGCTGGCACTATTGAAGATGGATGTGAGAGAGCTCATCAGAGCAGCCATGATTACTGCTATCATTAACCCTTTTAGTCCTAGAATATAAAAATCCATTACAAGTTACATTTTGAATAAATATAAAACCTGATACAGAAATATAACTGCATGGCATGCAAAAATCAATCAATTGGCTTTTAGGGAGTTGCATCCCATGAGGCGTATGCCACCTCATGGACTTATCTCTTGTATTTACTATTTACATTTTAACTGGCAGTATAGCTATCACGTACCTGGTGGAGATTGAGCTGGAGAGGGGGCTTCTCTTGCACCTTTTGTCCAACACCCCTGGTAGTGATGACAGGGAGTGTGGGGACACAGAGTGGCACGAGGGCCAGTGTAGCAGGTAGCGCCAGCTGGAATTTACAGGACGCAGTTGACTGTAGATCACCAGAAATTAACCAGGAACTGGAACACAGTGACACTTGCTTGGCAGACAGGAGTGTAGCCAGGATACAAGCCAAAAGGTCATCAACAGCCAAGCAGCGAGGTACAGGAACATCAGGCAGAGTGTAAGGGAATCTCAATGAGACGATTGTCGAATAGAAGCGCGCATGCGCACAGAAATGAGCAATCGCGCACAGTGAAGATTGGTGCCAGACGGACTATTTAAAAGGTGCCTCTGCCTGTGCTGAGTGCTGACTGGTCTTCAGCTGTTCCCCGTTTCCTGCTTGTTCCTGTGTGATTTCTTTGTTGCTGACCCGGCTTGTTCCTGACCTGACTCTTGATTACTCTCCTGCTTGATACTTGTTCCTGACTTCGGCTTGGTTATGATTTGGTACCTCGCTGTCTGCCCGTTGATGACCCCGGCTATTCCTATAACTTTGCTCCTGTCTCCCATCCCAGCTTCCTGCCTTGCTCTGGCGCACACCTGGCGACCTACCATACCAGCTCTGCATATCACTGCTGTTCCTGAATCAGAGGTTCATCAGTCTTCCAAAGTCTCCAGCTGCAAGAGCTGCAAACAACATCTGCTGGTGCTCTTGTCCCCCTGGTCCCTAGACACCCTGTGTTCCGCTTCCAGTGGGGTCAGGGCTAGTGACACAAGTAAGGCCGACCTCGTCATTTCAGTCTCCAATCAGATACGTGACCCAGAGACATAGTCAGGACCCAAGCCAGGACCAGTACAGAGCCGGGCAGGAAGGTACAAGAATGGTAGGTACAGCAATAGTAGGCAGGCAGAGATTAAAGGTCAGGTCAGCCAAGTTGTACACGGGTAAGCAGGTATGGCAGGTCTTGGCTCAGGTAAAACAGAAAGTAGCTGATGACCACTCAGCAATCCATCCATGTCAGAGTCCAGCTTAAATAGGCCATTCGGCGCCAGTGCTCATACATATGCACGTGCGCTTGTGCATATGTTCTAAGCACATGCTAATACGTTTGCTCAGGTGTGAGAACGCCTGCTTTGCATTGAGCTCTCACTCAGTATTATGAGCATGCACATAAGTATGAGCATGTGCCAGCCTTCTTGTTCCAACATGTTCTGAGCTTCTCTTAAAATAGCTGTCACTATACTTCCAGCATGCTGACACTGGACCTTCGTTCCTACGTACAGCAGCTACACAGTTGCTTGCAGCTGTTCTGCCTGCCTCTCTTTTTGCCCAATCACAGAAAAGACTGTTGTATGTGAACCCATTTGCAATATCCAAAGTATTCTATGAATGAACAGCATAGAGAAGGGTCAGGCAGAGCACATTTCTCCTGTCAGATCACTGGAAGCATAGCAATAGTTGTACTCCTGGGGCTCAATAAAAAATGTAAATAGTAAAAAAAAAAGATCCACAAGTTGGCATACACTTCATTGGACGTAACCTCTTATAAACCAACATATTTTGAATTAAATGTGGTCGAGAAGTATTGTAGTAGTATGAGAATGTGTATGTTATTGATGAAAAGAGTTGTTAAATATACATTTTTAAATTTATTTTAGGTACTTATATAGTGCCGTCAATTTACACAGTGCTTTACATTTATATTGTACATTCACATCAGTCCCTAACCCTCAAGGGGCGTACAATCTAAGGTCCCTACCTCACATTCATACATACACATACTAGGGTAAATTTAGACAGGATTCAATTCACCTACCAGCATGTCTTTGGAGTGTGGGAGGAAACCCACGCAGGCACAGGGAGAACATGCAAACTCCAGGCAGGTGGTGCCGTGGTTGGGATTCAAACCAACGACCCTAGTACTGCCAGGCAGAAGTGCTAACCATTTACCCACTGTGCTGCCCACCATTTAGCCACATAGAAATAAAAGATAAAATAAATACATATCTATATATATATTTATCTTTTATACATATACATACACTGCTCAAAAAACACTTTGAAAACATATGAGATCTCAATGGGGGAAAATATCATGCTGGATATCTATACTGATATGGACTTGGTAATGTGTTAGGAATGTAAGGATGCCCCATCATTTGATGGAAATTAAAATGATCAATCTACAGAGGACTGAATTCAAAGACACCTCGAAAATCAAAGTGACGAAATGATACAGCAGGCTAGTCATTGCAGCAACTCAAAATGGTCCTCAGTAGTTTGTATGGCCTCTCATGTGCTTGTATGCATGCCTGACAACATCAGGTCATGTTCCTAATGAGATGATGGATGGTGTCCTGGGGTATTTCCTCCCAGATCTGGACCAGGGCATCACTGAGCTCCTGGACAGTCTGAGGTGCAACCTGGTGGCGTTGGATGGATTAAAACATCATTTCCCAGAGGTGTTCTATTGGATTCTGGTCAGGCAAGCATGGGGGCCATTCAATGGTATCAATTTCTTCATCCTCCAGGAACTGCCTGCAAACTTTCGCCACATGAGGCCGGGCATTGTTGTGCAACAGGAGGAACTCAGGACCCACTGCACCAGTTCAGGGTCTGACAATGGTCTGACAATGGGTCCAAGGATTTCATCCTGATACTTAATGGCAGTCAGAGTGCCATTGTCTAGCCTGCAGAGGTATGTGCATCCCTCCATGGATATGCCTCCCCAGACCATCACCGACCCACCACCAAAATGATCATGCTGAACAATGTTACAGGCAGCAGAACATTCTCCACAGCTTCTCCAGACTTTTTCACATCTGTCACATGTGCTCAGGGTGAACCTGCTCTCATATGTGAAAAGCACAGGGCGCCAGTGGCGGACCTGCCAATTCTGGTGTTCAATGGCAAATGCCAATCGAGTTTTTTTATGGTGCTGGGCAGTGAGCACAGGGCCCACTAGAGGATCTCGGGCCCTCAGGCCACCCTCATAAAGTCTATTTCTGATTGTTTGGTCAGAGACATTCACACCAGTGGCCCACTGGAGGTCATTTTGTAGGGCTCTGGCAGTGCTCATCCTGTTCCTCCTTGCACAAAGGAGCAGATACCATTCCTGCTGATGGGTTAACCTGTCCAGCTCTCTTAGAGTAACTGCCTGTCTCCTGGAATCTCCTCCATGCTCTTGAGACTGTACTGGGAGACTCAGCAAACCTTCTGGCAATGGCACGTATTGATGTGCCATGCTGGAGGAGTTGGACTGCCTGTGCAACCTCTGTAGGGTCCAGATATTGCCTCATGCTACCAGTAGTGACACGCACCCTAGCAACATGCATAACTAGTGAAAAATAGTCAGAAAAGATGAGTAGGGAAAAAAATGTCAGTGGCCTCCATCTGTAAAACCATTCCTGTTTTGGGGGTTGTCTCATTGTTTCCCTTCTAGTGCACCTGTTGTTAATTTTATTAACACTAAATCAGCTGAAACTGATTAACAACCCCCTCTGCTACTTAACTGACCAGATATCCCAGAAGTTTAATTGACTTGATGCTATACTCTGATTACCAGGTGTGTGTATGTATATATATATATATATATATATATATATATATATATTTTATACACACACACACACGTATTTTATGTGATTCCCTTTTTGTATTCTTTTTTGTATCTTATTGTTATGGAAAATTTTAAAAAAGTAGACTGGGTAAAAAGTTGCTGTCATAAGAACAGGTCCATAGTGGGAATGTAAACCTTCTTCTGCTCTGTAAGTGGTATAAAGGTCTGAGAGTTAAAATAGTGTATGACAAGCCAAACTTTTTTTTATTTCTGTCTGTGTTGCTGTTGGAGCTTTCCACTTGCATCATGTCTGGTACAATGTTGTTAGCAAGACAGGAAGTAAAGGTATATCCAGATAGCAGTAAAATTCCAAAAAGGGTTCTAACCCTTCCCAACACTATCCAAAAGTAGAAAAATAAAGGTTTGGCTTTTCATAAAGTCATTAGATGGTTGTTAGCACCTTTGGCATAGAATAGACCTTTGAAGTCACAGATAAAAGAGTAGAAAGTAATCTTCCAAGGTCCAACCTTTGGTTGGTATAGTCCAGGCAGGATTCTACTTTTAAACACTGTGCAATGACCAGTAAATGGAAAATGGCAGCTCCTAGACTCTTAGGGCTTGTCTCCATGAGCAGCAAACAGGCTGAAAATTTTCAGTAAATGCAACACAACAGCAATGATATTATGTTATGTCACGTATACATGGAAGTGGCAGCATGGCGTCACATCTAATAAAATGCACAGTTGAAGGGCTACCAGGTAGAAAACTGCTTAACAATGCTTCCATTGAGAACGTATTAAGCACCTCCAGCTTAGGTGGTGAGCTCCCTGTGTAAGGTCCCAACCGACGGGAGGTGATACGCATTAAAAACATGTCTTGCTGGCGAAAAACATGAAATAACGCCTAAAATCATGTGTTTTTCAAAGCATTTGCAAGAGAAGAACTTGTATAGTTGTGTAGACATACCCTAACATAGAAAATAAAGTGACATCTCACCGACAGGCATGAGTGTAATTACCAGCTTGGGATAGGCAATGTTGGAGCAGCCCGTTTCAACCTGACAATATTTCCGGCATTCGTCTGGATGAACACAACCGACCTCATCTGGAAAAATTATATAAATGATTACGGAAACATGTACTGAGAGAATTAATGGATATGTCCCTGTTGGCATTTGTCTGAAAATACTGGTTTCTTGGTGTCAATTCTTTCTAAGTTACTAACGCAGAACAAGTGGCAGGTTAGTTGCAGAAGCCATTTGATCAGCATGACAGCCAACTAGAGAGGTCAGCAGTGACAGCCACCACATTCATATATTTCACATTATTTTGGCTGGGGTTGCATTTTATGACATAAATCTGGAATAGTAGAAATATGGCAATCCCTTTCAGATAGTGCTAGTTCTTGGCTGTCATTCTCATCCTCCAGCTTCACTATGGAACTCATATAAAAATCAGGAGTTTTGGCTATACATGAGCCTAGAGCTGACGACCAGTAACCAGAGGAACCTCACCTGGATATAGAGCTCTGCTAATCATTCCTGGAAGTACTACAAAAAATGCAGGAAGAATTTTCAGGTAACCCCCGACTATGGAGCCTCCCTTGGCGTGGGAGAGGTTCTTGGCTGCTAGGGATCGCTGCACAATAACCTGGAACACATTTAATAACTTTAAAATTTAATAACTTTAAAATTTAAATAGTAAAATAAAAATTCTCATATATATATATATATATATATATATATATATATATATACACACACTGTAAATACACCAATCAGCCATACATTTATGACCACTGACAGGTTAAAGTACAGCTAAAGTCAAAACTTTTTTTTTTTAGTTTTTGGACGGAGAAGGATTAGGACACTTGTCAATTTTTATTGCTGTCTGTATCCCCATTAAGGAGATTCGCCCTCTGTATTTGTCCTGTTTACCATTATTATTGAAAGTGATATTAAAAGAAAAATCTAAAATTTTGTGTTGTCCCCAGAAAAGTAATAGAGGGGAAATCTTCCAATCAGGACACTAGATCTGGTGACCTGATGGGGCCCCAAGGGATTCCCTATTTTTTGCAGGGATTTCCTCTAACTTCCTGTTTTAGCTATGGGACAGGAAGTAAAGGGAAATCTCCTCAATGGCACACAGATGGTGAAAAAATAATCTGATAGGGGTTATAACCTTCCATTACTGTATCCAAAATAAAAAAAAAAAAAAGGTTATGCCTATAGTTCAACTGTGAATAACATTGATTGAAAAAGTGGGCATCACAGTTTGTTGTGTGTGGGGCTGGGTAGCTGCAGAGCAGTCAGTGTGCGGTGTGATGCTGTGGGCAATGTTCTGCTGGGAAACATTGGGTTCTGCCATTTATTTGGATGTTACTTGACCTGTACTACCTACCTAAACATTGTTGATGACCGAGTACACCTCTTGATGGACATGGCATTGCTTAATGGCAGTGGCCTCTTTCAGTAGGAAAATGCATCTTGTCACACTGGAAAAATGGTTCAAGAATGGTTTGAAAACAATGGGTTTGAGGCGCTGACTTGGCCTCCAAATTCTCCAAATCTCAGTTCAATCGGGCATCTGTGGGATATGCTGGAAAAACAAATCCGATCCATGTAAGCCCCACCTCACAACTTACAGGACTTAATGGATCAGCTACTGACTGCTTAGTGCCAGATACCACAGCATACCTTCAGAGGTCTAGTGGCGTCCATGCCTTGACAGGTCAGGGCTGTTTGATACTAAGCAAAATGGTAGTGTGACAAGAACACCCCTACCTGGAAAAAGAAGGTTACTAGGGCTGTTTGATGCATGGCCATAAAATTATGGCTATATTATAATATAATATATAAAATTATATAATAATAATAATAGTAAAATATTAATAATAATAATAATAATAATAGTCAAATAATAATTCCTAAATACATTTAATCCTTTAATAGTAAAAATAAGAATCCTGTAAAGTTTATCTTGATGAGAGCCCTTTACCTAGAAGGCATGTTAAGCCTAATCATGATTTTTTTTTTCTACTTGATTCTGTTAAATTTAGAGGCAGTTGGTAGCTGTGAAATGCACAGCTGATGAGTTTTTAAGAGCAATTTATCTGCTTTTTTCTTCTTTTTTTTTTTTTTTTTTTTTTTTGTATTAACAATTTTTATTGGTTTTCACACACACATATATATATATATATATATATATATATACAAACAATAAATTGAAAAAAAAGGAACACAAGAGAGAAAGGGAGCACATCGATGGAAAAATCTGCATGGTTACAAACATGATGTCACATAGCAACAGTTGGGAGGCCATCAGAACCGCACATTTGGAGAAAGGTGGGAGGGGGTAAAATTATCCGATGGGTGCCACACTGCCTCGAACACAGCAATCGAACAGGCATGTAGAGCAGTCAGGTATTCCATCTGTCTCACATCAGAAATAATTTTAAACAGAGTTGGCATCGAAGGAGGTATAGAGGATAGCCAACACATAGGAATGCTTCTTCTAGCCGCAGTCAGAATATGTGAGGTGAGTTTCCTGGCCATTTTGGGAAGACCTGGGAATGGCAGGCTCAATAAAAAGTATAGGGGCTCAATGGTGGGGGTGGAAGACCGGTTAACCAAGTCAACCAGATCAATGGATCTCCTGGTATTGTCCGTTGCATGTCTGGCAGGAACAAAGCCTACTTGGTCTCTGTGTATGGGCTTGGAGATGAGCCTGGACAGCTGATTGGCTAGGATCTTAGTAACAATCTTGTAATCAGAGTTTATTAGAGCAATAGGACGGTAATTACCTAAGATAGAATGATCCTTGTCAGGTTTGGGAATTACAGAAATATATGCATGGGAGAAGACAGCCTGGGGAGCAATACCCTTAAAAAAATATCGATAAAGAGAGAGAAGATGGGGAGCCAGGATACCAATGAAGGTCTTGTAATAAGAGTAGGGAAGTCCATCTGGTCCCTGAGTTTTGCGTGAGGGGAGATGTTTGACTGTATCAAATAGTTCTTCAGATGAAATGTCAGCGTTAAGGGCTGATATGTCAGAAGGCGATAGCTTCGGTAATAGTAGAGGGTTAAAAAAACCTATCAAAAGAAGTCTCTGTGAGGGGAGGATGGAGATCTGGGGTCAAACAGTTGTAAAGGGACTCATAATATGAGCCAAAAAGGGAGACCATTACATGGGGGGCATAAGTAGGGTCCCCATTCGGCTGGATAAGATGGTCTGGCAACGTGGAGGGAGATTGGGCTTTGAGTCTATTGATGAGTATACGGTGAGGTTTGTTAGAGAATTCGTAGAAGTTCTGTTTGATCCAGAGAAGAGATCTTGTGGACTTACAGGAATCAAGAGCCTTGATTCGGTCACGAAGAGAGAGGTCACTCTATGCATTCCAGAAATAGATGGTTTTGCGAGACGTCTACGTTCAACCAAGGTTAACTGGCGGACTAGGGTAATCCTTGCACTCTCTGAGGATTTCTTCAAGTGAGAACCCATGGAGATACACAGACCTCGAAATACCGCCTTGTGGGCTTCCCATATGGTCGAGGTGGATGGTACAGAGCCTACATTGTGGTGGAAGTACATGTCAAGTCCCTGTGAGAGCTCAGCACGGAGATGTTCCGTAGTTAAAAAGGTTTCATTGAGGCGCCCATGACCTGCCTTTGGCATAACATTAGGGAATAACAGGTATAAGGTCAAGGCGGCATGATTAGACCATGTGGATTGATGTCAGAGGAAACCAGGAGAGGGAGCAGAGGTGCTGAAATAAAGAAATGATCTAGGCGTGAATAAATAAGATGAGGGGTGGAGTAGAAGGTGAATTGTTTATGGAGAGGGTGCCAAATCCGCTAGGCATCAGAGACGATGTTCCCTGATCAATTTGTGAAAGGATTTCGAGGAGGAGCATTGCCGCTTCGAAGGAGTGGACTCCAAGAGAACATTCCTGTCTTTGTGTGGAGAGACGACTAAATTAAAGTCACCCCCTATAATCATGTGTGGAGTAGAGAAGGAACCTAATTTGGCAACTGTGTAAGAAACTGTAACTGACCTGAGTTCGGGGCCTATAGATTCAACAAGATAAGGGGGGTGTAACCAAGCATGCATTCTAGAATAATGAAGCGACCGTGGTGATCGACTTTGGAGGAAACGTCCCGAAGGGAGCAATGTGTCCAAATCAGAATTGCCACTCCAGCCATCCCAGATGTATCAAAGGCCGAGAAGGATTGGGGAAAAAAAACCTTGAAGCAAAACGAAAAAGAGCCAGTTGATTTAAAATGGGTCTCCTGAACAAAAATAATGTCTGCTCCTGAGGATCGGAATTCCTTCAAAGCCATCCACTGTTTCTGAATGGAGTTAAGGCCTTTAACATTATATAACAGAAGTCGTAGGGCCATCACAAAATGACAATAGATATATCATGTGTACCAGCAGAAAAGGTAAATGGGATACCATCGATGGAACAAAACAGAAAACAAATAACATTAATAGATTAAATAAGATGCAAACCGGAAACATCATAGTAAAAAAGTATAGACCCCGTGAGGATACACACTTGGGAAAAACATCTATACCCAAGTCGTCCCGGCCAGTGGCTGGACGGGATCAGGGGCAGCACGACAAACTGAAACATAACAGTCGTCAAACCTGGCCAGAAAAACAAAACAAATGAAAGCACCCAGCAAGGGCTCAGCCAGCAAAAATAAAAAAAAAGGAAGGAGGGGAGGAGAGGAGGGGGGGAAGGGGGGAGGAGAGGAAGGGGAGGGGGGAGAGGAGGGGGGGGGGGGGCTGGGAGAGGAAGGGGGGAGGAGGAGAGGAGGGGGGGAAAGGGGAGAAGAGGGGAGGGGGGAAGAGGAGAAGGGGGGGAGAGGGAGGGAGGGGAAAGGGGAGGGACAACCCCGAAGTATCCACGGGAGAACACCCTAGAAGAGCATCAGGTAGGCTCATTGCTGGAACGAGGAGGACGAGGACGTTGTAGAATACGTGAAAGACGCTTCTGGCCCCCATGAATTGGTGTCCAAATCTTGTTGGGAGTAACGGAAGAGCGGGATGGGGTAGGCGGTAATGAAGAGGTGTCTTCCGGTAAAGGAGGTAGTCACAATTGCTTCAGAAAGGAGTCCGCCTCTAAAAGATCACGTAGGATAACTTGGGAATTATCTGTGGAGATGACCAGCTTGAAGGGAAAACCCCAGCGATAGGGGACACGATGATGTTGAAGGTGTGTGGTGATTGGCTTCAGTGCCTGTCGTTTGGCCAGGGTAATCGGAGAGAGATCACAAAAGAGCTGGAGCCAGTCCCTTTAAATTCCAAGGAAGGCTTGTTGCGTACTGAGGACAACAAGGCTTCTTTGCTTTCAAAAAAATTAAAGCAGACGATGACATTACATGATCTGGTGCCATCAGCAGGTTTAGGGCCTAGTGGTCGGTGGGCCCTGTCCAGGCGCCAATCTGCTTCTGGGACCATGGGGGCGGTTGCGATGAAGAAAAACAAAAGGTGGCGGTGAAGTTGAGAATCGGTAATAGATTCAGACATACCACGAATACGGATGTTCTGCCGACGTTCCCTTTTTTCCAGATCTTCTTGTTGGAGCTGGAATTGTGACATGCTGTGTTTCAGATACGCATTATCTTCTGCTAAGACATGGTCGTATTGCACCAATTCGTCAAATTTATTCTCCAATTGATCCGCACGTTCACCGATCTGAACTATTTACCCTCGAAGATCCAAAGCCAATTTGCCCACTTCAGCGGATATAGAGGCAGTAATGTTGCATAGGAATACTTGCAATTTTTCATCTAACGCAGATACCGTGAGAGAAGGAGACACATGCGCAGTGGTAGGAGCAGAGGGATGGTGACTCAAAGAAGGGTGTTCTGGTGCCCCCCTACCACTGTCAGGGGCTCAGGATCCTCCATCTGGGGGTGTATAGAGGCTGGGGATGCCGGCTATACAATTGTAAATGGAGCTGCAGTACCTCCCGCCGCCACTGGGGGTCCAGAGCTCGTTCTCGAGCCTGCGGCCGTACTCGAGGCCGGGGATTGTGGCCTAGTGAGGAGTCGCTGCAGCGGGGAGGGCCGCGGATCATGTAGCGGTGGGGAAGGGAGCTTCCAGCACCCGCTCTTCCCCATTATTCCTCCCTTATATTGCGGGCCGGGTGCAGAGCAGAGAAGACTCACCCGGGAACGTTCGGACGGGTGAGCCGCTAAGGCCGGGGATGGACGGAGCTCTAGGGAGACCTGACCTTCCTCATCCCCGGTCGCGCATGCGCACCCTTCTTTTTTTCTTCTTGCTTTCTTACTTATATTTATTCACGTGTTCTATCCTATATTCTCAATTCTAGCTCCAGGAGATATGTTATTATTGGCTTGGTTAGGTTTTTTTTTTTATTTTTTTTACAGACTAAGCACCTCTAGTGCCTGGACTAAAACCTAGTAATTCCTGGTACAGAGGTGTTCTCTGTAAAACTGTCAGGCCTGACCACTCTCTGCTGGTCATCTGGTTAGGTGAATGGTGCTGGGTTCCCAGAAACATGCAACTGTGTGGACTATCGTGGGCTCAATGAATCATGATGTGTTTGCACTGAGCAGGTAGCTCACATACACAAATTGGACCCACTGGTCGTTTAAATTAAAAAAAAAAAAATATTCAGGATACCAAACTCGAATGTACGAGTCCACAACTGATTATTCCAATAAAATAGTCCAATAAAGAAATTCACCTAAAATTCACAAAGATAGCTTACATTTTCAGGGGTCTGTGGAAATGCCCCCTTCTTCAGGGCTTGCAGTGTTTTTATGTAAAGGTAAAAAAGATATGAATACTTTATAGGAACCAAATAATAGTAATAATACTGAGAAGCTGGCCTTTGCAGCCTTGTTGTGGCAGGGGAAGGGGTCCTTAGACCCATGGAAACCCATGGAAGCTCCAACCCAGTACACAGCAATTTTGTGTGGGGATCCAGTAGACAAGCAAGGTGGCGGAAGAGCAGAAGAAAGCAAGCATGACCTTGCCATTAAACTGTATTTAAGATAATCAGGGATCATTTATTATCCATCTTGTAGGACATAGAAGGGAACCTGTTACTTTACCCTGAATGGGAATACCTAAAACCCATTTACACCTTGTCATAAAACTGTATTTGAGATAATCAGGGATCACCAATCATCCATCTTGCAGGACATAGAGATGCATAGTTTGCATTATATATTACAATTCCTTTAATGTATTTTGACAATTTATGCACTTGCTAGGAAATTATATGTTTTTTACAACACAGAATTCATTAAAATATCTTAGAGCTGTGAGAATCCTAAGAGCTAGGATGCGGCAGCTAGATCACCTTACCTGATCAGTGCACCAAACCCAGGTGGCCAACACAGTCAGACCAAATATAAGGCCAGGCCAAGGTAGGTCCCCAGTGATGGGGTCACGTATCATATGGAATGCATCACTGCGGGGCAGATGGCAGGTTGTGTTAGGGACAATTATTTTTGGGATAGCCTCCATGTACTTCTGCTCCAGACCTGTGTACCAGCCAATCTTGTTAAACGCTGGTGAGATAAACAGAGTTGTATATTACAGATATGTTATCAATTTTTTCTTTATGATTTATTATTTACATGCTAATAATGGGGTTGGCCATGTTGGGATAGTAGAGAAAAAGTAATACAATAAAAAGCAGTATACTTACCCATAAACATAAGAATAAAAGCCCCCACTACCATAATGACTGTCTGTAGGGTATCGGTGTAGATAACTGCAGTTAGCCCACCTGTTATAAAGAGATGTATGGACATATAACATGACTGGCTGTAGATAGTAGAAAATGTGCTTTAAATAGTCAGTTTAGGCATTCAGGTAATGCATTCAACATGTGTTCCTGTATTTGCTGAGGATCTAAACATACAATATGTCTTTCTAACCAAAGAAATTACTCTACATTTCTGATAGCATGCATGGCCTGCCCATATGAACAAGAAATCACTTGATGCCCCTATCCATGCTAAACAGCATTGGATGGAGGAACCTGTATTTCCGGCTACTGTATGCTGACAATAGCATCCGTGGCTGTCAAAATATTCGATCAGTACCTACAACTGATTGGATGCAGGCGCTGTTCAGCACTGAATTTTCTGATTGGCTCATTGAAAATATGATTAAAAAATCAACTGATCAAGCCAGCCAACAAGGTCACCCATGGAATGAATTTTGGCCAATTTAGCAGGAAGCAGCCGAAATATGATAAGTGTATGGCCAAATTTACCAGCAATGCATCTGAGCTTACGCATTTTGGGCTATTGTGCAGAAAAATTAGTAAACAGCGCTACCCTACATATACAATATATTCCTATATAGCCAAAAATGCTCACAAAGAAACAATGTTGGACTGCTCCACAGGTAAAAAACAAAGGGAATCTAATATTAAAGGGAAGCAGCTATCCTCTCTTTGATGATCCACCAAAGAAACAAGTGTGCAGAAAAATTTGTAAACACCTACACCTCTCCTAGTTACTTATTAAGCTCTAATATACATTGATTCCGATGGGGAAAGATGGCTGTAGATAAACACTTCTGGTTGTCCTTGCCCACCTTGGTGTACACATGCCATGGCAAAAATTAAACAGCTGCCACTTCTGGCAGGTGTTGCCGTTGTGGAAGAAACTAAAGCAGGTCTTTGGGGCCACTCCACAATCTTGTGCAATGCATGCAATTGCGGCATGGTAGTGGGTCATTATAAGGGTTAAAACAGGAGGTGAGGAGGAAACATATCACTTCCTCATCGCTTGTCCAACTTTTCTGTTTCACTTTTCAGAGGGGCAGCAGTCCTTGTCACACATCTGAACAAGCTCTCACTACTAAAGACTGAAACATTGGTTTTGAGTTGACTGATTTATTAATTTTTAGCTTACACTTTACTGACATGTACTATTTTATTCTAACCTTTTTTTTTGCCTATGCATTCAAACCCACTGGGCATTGCCTGACAGGGGAAAGCCTAACATCTGCCAACACGTTGATAAAATGAAGTGACCTCTGTATACTTGTTCACATTCCTATCCCTGTTGATTCCTAATGCCAAAGTTCATCCCAGAAAACTGTGCTGAAATCTTTAGATGATAAAGAATATGATAGTTACCAGCAACAGTGTAAATTGCTGTCACAACCAGCAGTAAGACGGTGGACAGGTAAATGTTCCATCCCAGTGATACCTGGATGAATAGGGCTCCTGAGAAAATGTCTGTCTGAAACAAAACAAAGAAAAAGTTGAAAAAACTAAAAATAAATTCAGCTGACTTTGATCTCCAGGTAAACAGCCTAATATACAGATAAAATGCATAAATGTGAGCTGCTTGTATTCCTGCCCATTCAATCCTGAGATTTACACAGCTCTGCAGCACAGCACAGCCATGTCTGGCAGGGAAGGAGACCTGATCTCTCTGGAGCAGTCTTACTTTCACTTACAAGTCTCCTCCCTGCTCCCAGATTGTGAATGGACGGTGAAAGGAGAAGCAGCACATTGCTGAGCTCATTATTCTGTCACTCTGCTCTCTCCTTTTAGGATGATCCTTTCACTGCACTGATTGAACCCTGGTGTTTCTCCTTTCTCTTTGTTCTGAGCTTTGCTGTACAAGAACTGTGAAAAGCTAGAGGAAAATATAGAGGAAGTCAGCTGTTATTCAGCTGCATAATGTCACCCCACTATACTGCCTTTTTTCAAATATCTCATGTAATTTCCTGAAACATATTCAACCTTACCTAGTAAACTTAATATCTCAAAGACACAAGCATACTTTTTCATACATTTCAGATACAGGCAGGTGGGGACTGGGCTGGTGTGTATTTTCTCTCAGCCCAGTATTTATAAGGCAGACCATACATAACACAATTTTTTTCCTTCAACCAGTGGGTTGAAGGAAAAAAATATGCTGATTCCCCCATCCACATATTTGAAGTGAATGGGGGAATCACTCCATCTGTGCTAGTGTGTCATTAGGGTGGGGAGCCTCCCCCGCCATCAGAACACAATGATCAGGGTTGCTGGCTATAGCCAGCGACATTGATCATTCAGAAAAAAATTAAGCCAATTGATCGACTTCTGTACAACCAAGGTGCCCATACACAAAATGAAATGCGTCCGGTCCCTGCTGAACCAGCCAAATTTCGATCCATTTATGGCTGGCTTAAGATGTGTTAGGCTGGTGGCTCAGAAGCAGGGGCAGACTGACAATTCATGGGGCCCCCCAGGCAGTAGGGGATCATGGGGCCCCTGTGTCCTTGCCCAAACTCAAAAAAGCCTATGAAAAAGGTACCAGGGGCATCTCATGGGGCCCCCTACTGACCCCGGGCCCTCGGGCAGTGCCCGAGTTTCCAAATGGTCAGTCTGCCCCTGTTCAGAAGTCAATCAAAGGGGAATCCCCAGTCAGTGACACATGCTGGGCATCATATAGTATTGAGACACAGGAGGAGTGTTCCTGAGGATCTATGGAGGCCAAGGAAGCTGCCATCTTGACCTCTGTTTGATGTGCTGTTGCCGTGGTGCTGCACACATGATCAGTGGAGGAGAAGTGGAGACCCTGTGATCCCCTGCTGAGCTACCGAAGGAGAAAGATTGGCCATAGAGGAGATTAAGTAGCCTTTTGGCCCCTTGAGGGTCAGTGCGGGGAGGTGAGCAGGCACTGCTGCCATTTGAGGATTTGTGTGTGTGTGCGCACTAGAAGTGAAGACCACGTTTTTTCACAAGCTACACCTGCATGGACTTTATTTATTTATATATATGTTATATGTATATACATTTTTTGGTATATGCACGTAGAAAAGTTTTTTTATACACTTGTTCACTTTTTGAGTTTGTGATCATTTGTTCACTTAATGAGCACCTTTTTATTTATTTATATTCTTCTGTGAATGAGAAGAAGTTTTTATCGGAGGTATTAGATTATTCATCACTGGTGTGTTTATATTTATTTATATATCTATTTAGCATTTCTCACTGATATATTAAGTATTCAGTTTTGTTTCCAGTTATATACACCATTGGTTGGCATGTTCCAGTGATTTACAAGGAATTATTACACTATAGCACTTATATTCACTGACGGCACCTAATATATGTATTTATTTATTTATTTAATTTAGCGCTTCACTGTTTAAGATATATATTATTGGTTACTGAATGGTTAAGTTTTAAGTGACAGCAGCTGTTTCAGATAGGGATTGTGCCTATATTGAGCGCAGGAGGATACTCTAATACTATCATATAGCTAACTGCTTCCTATGCAGACCTGCAATTCAGCCTCCAGCACCAACTTCCTTTAAAGTTCTGGGATGTCATGTGACTGCCAACAGCCACAAAGAAACTTGGTGCAATAAGGTGTGAAAAGGTGCATCCCAAATAAACATGTCCTTTAGGAACTTTCACTTTTCATAATACCCACAAATCAACAAGACACAATAACACACTTTGCATGCTGCACTTGAACCCACACAAATTATCCCTTCTATGAAAGGGCTATTTGGTTGTGTTTGCCCCACACCAAAGGTCTCCAGTCCTCTCCTGGACAGAGTGCTCATACATTGACATCAGTCTGCAATGGCACAGCAGAAATACAGTGTCAAACAAACAAGTGGGAAATTACAGAGAGACACTGCTGGCCAGAGAGACAAGTGAGTCACAGAGAGGTCAGCCAATGGTATATGCGTAGGAAGAGAATACACAAGCCTTGGATTACTTACAAAGCCATCTTTTCCATCTGTATCCCATTTGGGAGATTTCCATTTGCTTCTGGTCTTGTAGACTAAACAGAAAGTAGAAGGAAGTCTCTTCAAAGTAAAGCTGGCCATACACTTGTAGATCTAGACTCTAAACCTTTTTCTGCACAACTCCTTTGAATTTTCAGTCAAAGGATGATGGGTGGAAGGGTACCAACAGAGCCAACCATGGAATGAATTTTGCCATTTGATCAGGAAGTTGTCAATATTTGCTCTGTGTATAGCCAACTTTGGCGAAAATCACCTCGTAGATGAGCTTTTCTCAACATTCTCACCCCAGAGGAAATACTTTTCAGATTTTAGGGAACCCCTGATACAACCATTTCATTGGGGGTTCATTGGGAAGAATGCCTCCCACAATGGCGGTCATGAAAAAAGTTCCCCCCTTACAGTGGTGATCAGAATGCCCATCCTCACTGACAGTTAAAAAGATCATTGGTGTAATGCTGCTGGCTTTGCCAAGTGGTGTTGGCCCTCAAACTATACAGCGATCATCCAATGGGAGACCAGCCAGCAATAGCTCAAGAAGCCTTTAGCAAACTTTAGAGGACCCCTAGGGTTCCACAGAACCCTGGTTAATAATACCTGTCACTGCAACATGTGCTCCCAGTTCCTACCTGTTCAGTACAGTACATAAAAGCCAACATTTATTTTTGTACAAATCCAAATGTCTCATTTTGGAGTTCACCTTTCCTATGATTCTAGGGTCAACGCACCGAAATTTTTGTGAAGATGTAGAGGAGGAGCGAAAGAAGAGACATGTAGATACGAATCCGTTTACCACCAAACCGCTTTTTTAAGTATTCAGGCATAGTGATCACTCCAGCAGCAATGTAAACTGGAACAAAGATCCATCCAAGGGCTACCAGCACCCAAGAAGCCTTAAATTAGAACAAGAAACTGTGTTAGAGGAACAGTCCATCTCACTCTTATTTGATATGGCTGAAGGCAATAAATTATGACCTGAAGCAATCCCACCAACACAGCGATTTACTAACTAAGCTCATTTTGTATCACACTGATCCTTTTCTGTAGCACTTCTAGAGAAAGCTTTGAACAAATTCCATCAGTCAGACTCACTTAAAGTAGGGCTCAGTTGGTCGGGAGACAGTTAGTCTACCACAGTTTTGGACTGTAGGGGAAACACAGTGAGTACATACAAAATCAAGGGAGATATTGTTCTTGAATTAAACCCAGTATTCAAAGCCACAAGATAACATTGACAAGCATGTGAGCATGTTGAGCAAACCTTCTGTGTGTTCCCCCTTACTGAAAAATTCCAACCTGCTTTTAAAAGCTTATTCTCCATTAGGATCCCCCATGAGCCCATGAGCCTCCATTGAAGTTTAAGAGAAAGGACCATTATTTTGATATTATCTCAAATTATAGATGTTCACTTGTCTATTTCTATAGAGTTTACTATTCTATGTTTCTCAGATTTGCATAGTGAATATGTTCACAACTTTGTAAATAGTTTCTTAAATTTTGTAACATTTTAGCTTGAGCACTAGAGAAACCCCAGTTTAATTAAAATGGTTGTAAACCCTTAATGTACCCAGTAAGGTGATTGGCCTCAGGTGATACACATATCCTCTTACATAAGTTGAACATGTTTATCTGCAGTCTTCTGTGTTCTACATCAGTTCAAAGTGCAGAAATAATAAAGCTTGTCTGAGAGTCCAGAAAAAAGGGGGCGGAGAGCTGAAATTACACTCTGCAGAGCTCATTGAGGAGAAGTCTGAAAGTTAATTGGAGGAAAGAGACACCCCCCCTCCACACAGCCTACATAGGCACAGAACTGAAGCTGTCAATCTGCTGGAACTCTCTCCCCTGTCACCATTTTTCTTTTTTGGTGTCAGGAAAACTTGTCAGAAGTGACTCATGCAGCTAGCAGAGTAACAAAGCAGCGAACAGAAGTGATACTTAGTGCTCTTAATTAAGACAAGTACACACTATAGATGGAAATGCTTTGCTCATATTTCATGTCTGAGGTTTACAACCATTCTAATCTACTTTTTAATACATTCTTACATTTGTGAATGCACTATTCATTGAAATCCTACTTTCTACACAGAAATCCCACTGAGTTAGTACATCAGACATATCCATGCTGAACTGGATGATGAGCTAAAAGATACATTAGGGACAATCCATAAAGCGAAAAAAACTAGCATTTTAAAAATGTGACAGTTATTTTAGGCTGAGTTCATTGAGGTTTGAATATTACAGCCATATGGCTAGTGTAAAACGTCTTGAAATAAGCCCATTTATTCTTAATTTTATCTCTAGTGTATTTTTTTTTATGGGAAATGCACTGGAAAATGGTCATACTACCATTTTTGCAAGTTACAGAATACAGACTTACGTTCCATTCAAAGCCACCAACTGCCAACCCTCCTGCAGCCCCTGACCCTGCCATCCCAACAAAGAGACCACTTCCAACATTGCTGGACATCAGTGAGGCTCCAATCTGCAAAAAATAAAAGAGCATTATTATTAAAAATATACAGTATATTATAATTAACAATTTTACCATTTTGAGTAAGGGTTAGAATTGTCAATGCTTTTATTGCTGTATGTGTCCTGCAACCTGGTCGGAGGTCACATGCGCCCCTATAGCCTGAAGCATCATGTATTTAGCAAGAGCTCAACTGGAACAATGGATCCCTGTGGGAGCATGGTGAAAGAAAGTATCAGCAAGCTGAAATTATTTTTTATAAGAGAAACTGTCATTTTGTCATGATATAATGCACTGCACTCTCAGGGATGTTGTGCATACCTAAAATACAAATTATTATTATACAGTATTTATATAGTGCCAAAGGGTTTGCTCAGCGCTGTACAATAGCAAGGGGGATGGAACATGAGACAAGACAGTAACAATACAATACACGAGGGGTTCGAGGGCCCTGCAATTTCGAGCTTACAATCTAGGAGGGAGGGGAAAGTGGTACAGGAGGAAATGGCTGTAGGGGATGGAGTGGTGGGAGGAGTGGAGGAGGTCAGTTGTTAGGTGAGGGTGGGGTAGGCTTCCCTGAAGAGGTGGGTTTTCAGGGTGCACCTGAAGGTGAGGAGGGTAGGTGACAGTCTGATGGATTGGGGTAGGGAGTTCCAGAGGATGGGGGAAGTCCTGGAGAAGTCCTGCAGTCGGGCGTGGTAGGAGGAGACCAGATCTAGAAGAAGAGATTGTGTAGTGGTTGAAGAAGTAAAAAAACACAATCAACAGACATTGCTCAACTTTAGATTCTGTTTTGACTATGGCTAAATCCTGCCTTGTTACTTTGTGAAATAATTGATAAACATGTGTACATATACTGTATATATATATATATATATATATATATATATGGTATATGTTTTCTATATGTATTATGTACTGGAACAACCAACCCTTAACATCTGTCAGTCATTTATAATGTCATTTAAATTAGCATCTTTACAATGGCAGTTTGACAGCATATCACACCTTCAGCCTTGTGACTTGAATAACTAAGAGAAGTCCTGGACTTGGAGGCACTATAATAATTGGATTATGGAATTAGAACACATTGGTTTCACAAACTTTGACACCACCTGTCATGTTTTTTGACAATCAACATCTCCAGTGACAGATTCCATAATAATTGGATTAAGTTGAGTTATCTGTGTGTCTATAAATGCTGGGGTATCTTCCTGACACTCATTAGAACTAAGTGGTGAAACATTTTCAACATTACAGATCAAGTCCATTTGGATATGATTAACTACTAAAAGCTCTACAACAGATATGGAGATGACCCACCCATCATCTCCATATCAGTTATAATTTTACAGCTCCACAAGCATATAATATCATGCTCATTCTTATAAAACAGCTAAACATCTTAACCCCCACTCTACTCCTTTCTCTATTTTACTACTAACTTGCATACTAACTCTAATCGAAGGGGGCCTGTAATGTAAAGGGAGGATAAGCTGCATGAACTACGAGAGACCCCTAGGAATCCCTTCAAGAGGAGACAAGCGGATTTAAACACAGAGGAGGACTGTTTCTGAAGTGAAGTTCCAACGCGGTGGGTGAATGAGGACCGTGGGTTTATCCTGCAGGTCCTCTTTTACACTGCATATACATTGGTTTTGTATATTAGACTTTTATATATTCTGAATTCCTGCACTAGATTGTGAGGTGCCTGGAAAAAGAACTGTGACTAAATACTCAACCAGAAAATAAAAGAAATAGGGGATTCCTGGGACAGGTCTGAAGATTGGAGGAGTAAAAGATCAGGAGTTCCAGGAAATAAGAGTTAAAAATTCCCAAACTACAGCATGAAAGGTAAAAATATCAAAGGGAGTGGGTCTAAGAACACCCAAACGGGTACGATTAAGAAGTATGTGTCACAAGGAAATGTTACCCCAGAAAGAACCCAGGGAATAAGTGAAAAAAGTGAATCGGAAATAAGTCTGGATAACAGCCCAAGACTTTCCCTGGGCCCAGTTTACAATAGTCATATGGAAGGTATGGAACCAGGAGAGCTGGAAAGAGATATGCAACTACCTAATAAAAAAGAAATGGCGGAGATGTTAAAGGTTTGGAAAATTCAATAAAGCAAGAGATGGGGATGATTCGGGAAGATCTGGGACAATTACTAACTAGGGTGAGGAAATGGAGGAGAAGGTACAAGCCCAAGCTCAGACCATCCCAAAATTAGAGAAATGGATAATTGAAGATAGAAAAGAACATAAGAGAATGCTTTATAGGATGGAAGAACAAGAAAATAGAGAAAGGAGAAATAATATCAGAGTTAGAGGAGTACCGGAATTGACACAGGGGGAAGATCTAAAAGAGCTATCTGGTAAAATCTTGAACTTTATAATGGATAAATCGGATGAGGAGATGTTTAAACTGGATGAAGTATACAGGATTGGGAAGTACCAACAAGGAAATGGGGTAGAAAAAACCAAGAGACATAATTGTTAAATTTCACAACTATGGAGATAGAGAAAAGATATGGAAAAAGATCAAAGGAAGATCAAATATTACATATGGTGGGAAAAATATCCAAATTTTTGCAGATTTGACAGCAGAAACTCTGAGAAGGAAGAGAGCACTGAAACCCCTATTGGAAACGATGAAAAAACAAGGAGTGAAATACAGATGGAGCCGTGACTTAAGCTTAATTGGGTGGAGGGATGGAATAACAGCTATCTTAAGATTCCCGGAGGATATGGAAGAATTTTGTGACAAATTTGGACTGCAGAGACAAGTGATATCTCTGGCTGGGAAGGGGAGGAGGGAGAGTTGGATATTTGTGGGACAGGAAAGTGGCAGCTGGTTAAGAGGAAATAGAGAAACAATAGATAAGGGGATATCGGGGAGGAGGGGGGGACGGTAAGCGGTCATGGGTAGAGTCGAACCCCTATAGAGGGATCAAAAGTGGAATATGATCCAAAGGCATAGGAGGCCTGGGGGGGGGGGGGAGGCGGGAGGGAGGGGGGGAGGGAGGAGATGGCAGGAGGGAGGGAGAGGGAGAGGGGGGTGTTGGGGGGAGGTAAGGGTGGGAGGGGGGAACGGGAAGGAGGGAGGAGGGGATAGGAGTGGGGTGGGAGGGAGGGAGGGGAGGAGGTATTGGGTTAATACTCTGCATGACAGATGGGATAAAGAGGAAGAGGCAATCTGGAAGAGAGATGGAGTTAATTGGGAATGATGGAAGAAATACAGTTTATAACCTATAATGTGAACGGACTGAGTTGTCCAGGGAAGAGATTTAGGTTATTTAATGAGTTACATCATAGGGCTACGTCAGTGGTATTTTTACAGGAGACGCATTTTGAGATAGAGGCAAACGTGAGGTTGAAATCTAAATACTACCCAACATGGTACTATGCAGATTCCCCAATTAAAAGAGCAAAAGGGGTTGCAATAGGTTTGGCAAAGAATATGAGATTTGAGTTGGAAGATAGAAGAACCGACCCGGAGGGGAGGTTTTTATTTTTAAAAGGTAAACTTCAGGGGATTGAGTGTACTTTAGCCAACATATACTGCCCTAATAAAAAACCGGAGATGTATATGAAAAGTTTGTTGAAAAAATTAACGGAATTTAAAAAAGGGTGCCTGATAGTAGCTGGAGACCTAAATTTCTGTATGGACCCACAAAAGGATAATACCTCTTCCGTGCAAAGAGAGGGGAGTAGGTCTCTGAGATCTTTGAAAAAAGTGATGCATGAATATCAACTAGTGGACACCTGGAGAATAAAGCATATGAAGGACAGAGACTATACCTTCTTCTCTAATGCACATGAGATATACTCGAGATTAGACTACATCTTAATAGATCATCAACTTATAGACCATCTGGTTAAAATTGACATAGAGACAAGGACGTTCTCGGATCATGCTCCGGTCGTAATGAAAATGGGATGGGGAAGAAGGTGGACTGGAGGATTAGGGTGGAGGTTAAATGAGGTTCTTCTTTTGGATGAGGATTTAGTTCAGAAAATTGAGAAAGAGATAAAGGTATACTTTAAGAAGAACGAAACAGAGGAGGTATCGATAGCTACAGTCTGGGCAAGCCACAAGGTATTTATAAGAGGAATCTTGATAGCGGCAGGAGCAAGGAAGAAAAAGGAAAGAAGAGAGAGGGTTAGTGGGCTTTTAAAAGAAATATTGGACTTGGAGCAGATCCATAAGAAGAAAATAACAAAAGATACGAGACAGAAGTTATTGGATAAAAAAGATGAACTAGAGAGGTTGATGGATGAGGAGAAGAGAAGAGTATACAACAGGGTTTTGAACGAGAGATATAGAGGGGGAGATAGACCAGGAAGATATCTAATGAGAGCCCTGAATAAAAAGAAAAATAGGAACTATATAGAAAAGATAAAAAAGTTCAAAGGGGGAGTTGGTCCATTCAAATAAAGAGATTATTAAAGTGTTTACGGAGTATTACAAACAGTTATATAATATTAGTCCCCAAGGCCCTCTAAAAGAAGCTCAAGAGGGAATCAATGAAAAAAAGATGACATACTTAAAAAATGCGGGATTACCAAAATTAAGTGAAGCACAGTTGAACACCCTAGATGCAGAAATTTCCCAGGAAGAAATTAAAATAGCATTAAAAGGCACAGTGGGGGGGGAAAAGCCCAGGGTCCGGATGGCTATACAGTTAAATACTATAAGAAATTTAGTGAAGTACTGTTACCCAAGTTGGAGAAATATATGAATGCCCTGGGAGGTGGGATGGAAGTGAGGAGAGAATCCCTACAGGCCCATGTAGTACTTATTCACAAGGAGGGAAAAGATCCGTCTCAGTGCTCCAGCTATAGACCTATCTCATTATTGAACACAGACACTAAACTGTATGCAAAGGTGTTAGCAAACAGGTTGAGAGATCTTATGCCTGAATGGATCCATGGAGACCAGGTGGGCTTTGTACCGGGGAGAGAAGGTAGAGATAACGGCCTGAGAACCCTGATGCTTATTCAGAAAAGTAG